GGTGAGGCGGGGGCGGAGGTGTGTGCTCCGCGGGGTTTCAGCAAAGCACGCAGTGCCCTGCGCTCCGCAGTCACATGCACGCTCTCGACACGCGCAGGACGCTTGTGCCCAGGCCGCACAAGCCCGCGCCCGTGCGCACTGGCGCGCACCCTTCTGAGTGACGCAGCATACAAGGGGGGCGGTGAATGCGAGTCTGCGACCCGCGGATCTGCAGCCGGGCTTCTGTAGTGTTTTCAGCTAAGGACCCTTGTCCCGCCTCTCCATCGGTGCGTCGGTCCATCAGCACAGTCTCACCGCCCATCCCGTGCCCCCTCCCCAAACGTCGGAGAGGAGCATGCACCGCCCCGACCCAGGAGCCCACAGCGGGTGGGGAGTAGATGACCCGCTGGAGAAGACACAATTACAGCGCAGGGTGGAGGGAGGGGGGGCCAGTGGGAGGAGTAGGGGTGACCCCCCCCTGGTCCACGGAGTTCTGTGTCTGTCGTGTGAATGAGCCCAGCCAGCTTCCCCAGAGGGTTCCCATGACTCAGCGAGGGAAATGAATGTTCGGGGGAGGGGGTCCCACATGTAGCCCAGCCCCTTCCCCAGCATTTTGCCGGGGGCATGAGGCCTGGAACCAGAAGCGGAGAGTCCAGAAGGCCCCAAATGTCTCCTTTCCTTCACGAAGATGTGTCATCCCCGGCTCCGTTTCCATGGAAACCCGCGATGACGCAACATGGACATCACGCCATGTCGGAGGAGTTGGAGCTTAGGTTTGGCTCCTAGAGACCCCAGAGGCGGAGCTCCTTGTAGGGAGACTGGGCAGACCCCGGCCCAGCCTTCCAGCGGGCGTGGCCAGCAACCCGAGATTGACAGGGCTGCGGGGCCGCGGGGCGGCCACAAGCTCTGCCCCTCCGCACTCTCCTCTGCAAACCATAGGCTGGATTTGTGAGCCGCGGGGACGCTGCTGCCAGAAGGCCTCCAGCCCCTCCCCCTGCAATGCCACACCCCTCCCGCCCCTGCGAAGCTCCCCTCAAGCCCGGGGCACTTGCTGCCCCCCTCCCCCGCCCCTCCCCTACTGTCCCCTGTCAGTCCCTCCCTCCGTGGCACCTTCCCAGCGCTCCTGAGCCGTTTTCTTCCTCGCGCTGCAAAGCCCGACCTCTTTATATTTATATTCCGGTGGTTCCTTGTCCATCTCCGCCTCACAGAGAGCGGACGTCGTCTCCATGGTCCGCGTGAAGAATAACCCATCGCGCACCTGTCTGGGGCAGGTGCGGACGTGTCCGTGAGTCCTCCCCAGGCTGCTCCCCTGCCAAGCCCGACTCTCCTCAGGAAAAGCCCTCCAGCCAGGGAGTGGGAGTTGGGGACGCTTCGCTGACCTGAAATGGCCCTGGGCCAGGCGCGTAAATCCAAGGAAGGGCCCCAGCTCAGGGCCCTAATGGGACCTTCCTCCCTGGAGGGCCGGGGAAGTCCATGATGGGGGTGCCCCTCTCTTGCCTAGCTGGCTGCTTCTTGCCTGCCCCACAGTGCCGCTCCTGGCCACCCCTCCCCCTTGTCCTACACATCCCTGACCTCCCTGCCCAGCACCTTGCACACTCTCCATCCTGGGCATCTGTCTGCCTCTCTGCCTCTGGGTGGGAGCTCCTCTGCATTCCCACCCTGCCTGCCCTGGCCTCTGGGGTGTGAGAGACTGGGTCACCTATGGGCCTGGTAGGCACTTGCGCTGGTGGGGCTGCTACAGTGAGAGGCGTTTGGGGATGGCGAAGTCACCAGGGCAGAAGTTTGGGGATTCAGAGGCCCAGCCGTCTTTGTAGGGTGGGTGCAGGCAGTGGCCAGGGAGGGAAGCACAGCCCCTGGGGCTCGGCCCTTCGGTCCTCACAAGGAAGGGAGTCGAGGGACAGCCAGGGCACCGTGGCCAAGGGGTTCACCTTCTCTGTTCAGGTGAACATCAGGGTCCAAATCCTGGGGGAGGGCATGGGGTAGCTGTGCCCCCAGCTTGCTGTCCTTTGGTTGTTGGGTTCGTTTATTTTGAACTCTTTTTGTTGTGAAATATAATGAATATTGAGAAGAGGACATAAAACAAATGTGTAGCCTAATGATTTAAGGTAAGTGCTCCCCAGTCATCCACCATCCAAGTGAAGCCTAGAAATCCCCACCTGTCCCTGAAGCCGCTCCCCTCCCCCAAAGGCAGGCCACCCAGACTCTCCAGACACGGGAGCAGTTAATTGGTCTGGACCCCTGGAGTGCGTGTCCCTAATCGCCCGAGACTGGTTCCTAAAGGTTATGTTAGAGTTGGCTTGTTCTTGAACCTGCTTTGTGCCTGGCTTCTTTTGGCCAACCTCATTTTGTGGGATTCGGGGCTGTGCTTGCATGCAGCTGTGACCCTTCACTTGCTAGGAATGCCTCCGATGATTTACTTGTTTTACTCTGGATGATGTGTGGTGCTGTGTACTTCTGTGGGAATAGCACTGCTATCCACGTTCATGCACACCCGTCTCTTTGCTGGGTGTGCACCCTGCAATGAGGGCTGGTTGAGGTTCGACATGTGTGGATTCTCTGAGTTGACACCACCTGTGTGGCATCTTTTGCTCCTTGAGCTCTCCTGGGTTTGGATGGGCTTCAGTATATCTCCTTAAGCTGGTTCTAATTGGTCTCCCTCTGGACTAATGAGGGTGAGCACCTTTTTAGTATTCATGGCCGTTTGAAATCCTTCTCTGTCTATTTTTCTATTGGTTGTCTATCTTTTTCTTTATCAACTTGAGCTGTTCTTTACATACTTTAGATATCTGCCCTGTATTGGCTTCCTTGGGCGGCTGTAACAAATTACCACAACTGGGTGGCTTAAAACAACAGACATTTATTCTTTCACAGGCTATGGAGGCAAGAAGCTGGAAATCAAGAACTGGGAAGGGCTGTGCTCCCTTTGAGGCTCTAGGGAAGGATCCTTCCTGCCTCTCCCAGCTTCTGGCGACTCCAGATATCCCTTTGCTTGTGAATGTGTCCTTCCAACCTCTGCCTCCATCTTGACATGACCACTTCCCTGTGCGTGTCCAAATTTCCCCCTTCTGTAAAGACACCAGTCAGTGGGTTAGGACCCCTGTAATCCAGTATGACATCATCTTCACTTGATCACATCTGCAAAGACCTTATTTCCTAGTAAAGTTACATGCACAGGTAGCAGGGGTTAGGACCTGAACATTTCTTGTTGACGAACCCACAAGTCCTTTGCATGTTGCAAATATCTTCTCCGGTCTTGCTTTCTGTTTCCATTCTTTGAAGGCTATGTTTTGATAAGCGGGAGTTCTTAATTTTAATGTAGTCCTTTTATGGTTAGTACTTATTTCTCGTATTGAGGAACTCTTTCCCTCCCCCAGATCAGGAAAATATTCTCCTGTATTATTTTCAAGATGCTTTTCCAACTTAGGTGTATCCACCTGGAGTAGATTTCTTTGTGTGATGGGAGGTAGGGATTAGGTCCGTTTTCCGTGTGGACATCTGTTTATCAAAAGGTGGCCATGCCGCCTGCTTTGCATGGCATCTCTGTCACAAATCCGTGGTCCCTGTGTGTGGGGTGTGTCACACGGAGCTTTGTGCACCACACATCAGTACCACACGACTGTGTAAGCTGGGCGTCTGGCGGATGAATACCCCCTTGTTCTCTTACAAGATGTCACATATGTTCTTGTTCCTTTACTTTTTGTATAAAATTACAGTGCTTGGCAAGTTCACACACAAAAAAATTCTGTTGGGCTGTTGATTGGTATTTATTGATTCTACAGATACATTTTGGGGGGAAATGACATTTTTACATGTGGAACCTTCCAAAATCCATGACCATTTTGTTCCCCACTTGTTAAGGAAGTTAGGTCTCCTTTTGTCTTAGTCAATGTTTTGCCTGAGGTCTTCTATGATTTTCCATATGGAATTTCTTTCCATTTCTCTGAAGTCTGTTCCTGATCATTTGGTATTTCCAATACCATTTAAACAGAGTCTTTCAAAAACTTGTTTTCTAATTTTTTGTCACTAATACATAGAAATATAATGACTCCTAAAAGCCTTGGATGGATCCTGCTGGACTCACTCTTCAAGCTTTGTAATGGATCCACAGATTCATGTGGATTTTCTACGCACACAATGTTCAATTCATGAACAGAGTATTACCTGACCTCGTCCAGGCCTGTTATCTCTTATCCATTTTTCCTGCCCTACAGCTTGGCTCAGACCTCCAGCACCATGATTTATAGAACTGATAATAAAAGGCCTTTTTATCTCCTTCCTCATCTAAAAGGCAAAGCTTTCACTGTTTACATTCAATAAGGATTGCTGTAGGGATTTTTGTGGATGGCCTTTATCAATCAGATTAAGGAGGTGTCCTTCTGCCCCTAGAGTGTTAATAGACTTTTAAAATAATAAACAGATGTTGAATCTTGTCAAATACTTTCCCAGATATTATTTAAATTGATCAGATGATTTTTTTAAAAAGATTTTATTTATGTATTTATTTATTTTAGGGGAAGGGAGGAGGGACAGGGGGAGAGAGAGAATCTCAGAGTCCCCACTGAGCACAGGGCCAGATACAGGTCTCGATCCCTCCCAGGACCCTGAGATCATGACCGGAGCCGAAATCAAGAGTCTGAGGCTTACCCACCTGAGCCACCCAGGCGCCCTGGGGTCATTTTCGTTGAGCACAATAGCAGCCCTTAGAATGTGCCCTAGAGCAGGCTGGCTAATGGCAGACTCTGCCAGTGTTGTGTGTCTGGGCATTCACTGGTCAGACGCACCACCCTGTCCATGGCTCTGGGGCCCACGGGGAGACCAGAGGGCAGGAAGGGACTAGAGGCCTGTGGCTGAACATGCCCAGTTTGTCCTGAGAGGTTGGCCTGTCCGTGCATGGCCTGCCCTGGCTCTGGCATGAGGAACACTGGGGCCAGCCTGGGGCCCTCTCGCTCCCTCACAAGCTGGCATGGACATCCGCTAGGTGGTGAGTGGGCAGTAACCTGAGTCTGCACCTCTGCACAGGACAAGGACCACCGTTCACCATGGTGAAGCTGGGTTGCAGCTTCTCCGGGAAGCCGGGCAAAGACCCCGGGGACCAGGACGGGGCTACCACGGACAGCGTCCCTCTGATCAGCCCCCTGGATGTCAGCCAGCTCCAGCCACCATTCCCTGACCAGGTGAGGGCCTGGGTCAGCAGGAAGGGCCGCCAGCAGGGGCTCAGCAAGCAAAAATGCCCACCCTTCCCTGTGGGCCCAAGACAAGGTCTTTGGGCAACGACTGAGGGAGAGCCCCTTTCTGGAGGAATCTGTAGGAAGCAGAACTCAGCTCTGGTGTAGTCCTGCTTGACCCCACCTGAGCTCTGGAGCATGAACGGCATCAGAAGTTGTCCCAGCAGGAGGGGAGGGGGCAGCCATCTGTACCCATGTCAGTCAACTTTTGGCCGAGGGCAGTTCTCCAGGGATCTGGGCGGGCTTCAGTGGCGTCTACTATAGTTCTGGACCTTGTTCTCAACAGACAGGTGGGAAGGCTCAGTGCTTGCCCCTTGGGAGCACTCACAGAGCACAGGACTGTACTTGCCTGTGCCCCATGTGGTAGGGGCCTCAAGACTCTGGGAGCCAGAGGAGAAGTCAGGGTGGACTTCCTGGAGGAGGGAGCCAAGATGTGGAACAGCTACAGGGGAAGCTCCTGGCAAGGAGAGCTGACACCCTTAGAATTGAAGGCAGCCCTTAGACTGAGGGGCTCCATCTGTGGTGTGGCCAGGCCCCAGGGCTGCCATGGCCCAGCAGGCATCCAGCATCCACCTTCCCTTAGCCTTGGCTCGTAACCAGTGGAGCCTAGCCACTAGACAGTCCTGGCAGCTGGTCAGCACCCACACCATTGCTGGGCAGCTGACCCCTGGACCCCTCCCAGTCCTCCCAGTTCAGGGTCCTCCAGGTCACCTCTTTCCACAGGTGGTTATCAAGACACAGACGGAATACCAGCTGTCCTCCCCGGACCAGCCAAAGAAGTTCCCTGACCTGGAGGCCCAGAAGCTGGCCTGTAACCACCCAGAGGAAGGGCGCAGGGTAACCCAACCTCCCAGTCCCATGCTGCCCAGTGGTCGATTCCAGGGGGGTTCAGGGCAGGGGAGATGGTGAGCAGGCAGCTGCAGGCATGGGTGCCCATGCTCTGAGACAAGTTGGCTGGGGCCCCCTTGCTCCCTCGCCTGCTCTCACCCCATTCAGAGGCCTTCATCCTGCTATAAAGGGGGTGAGAACAGCAGTTTCCTTCCGAGGAGCTTCGAGAGCCACTCTGGGCCCCACCTCCTCCTGCTGTGTGCCCCTTTTCCCAGTGGGCCGTGTGTCTCTTCCTTAGCGACTCTTGGGTTTTGTATGTAGTATGGAAAGTCACTTCTGCTGTATATCCGGTTAATATTTTTTCCCACCCTGTTTTTTTAGCCCTTAAGTTCACTAAATGATGGTTTTGGTTATTTTTAGCATACCATTTCTAAAGCCTTTTGGTTTTCTTTTTTTTTTTTTTTTTTAATTTTTTTTTTTTAAGATTTTATTTATTTATTTGAGAGAGAGAGAATGAGAGACAGAGAGCATGAGCAGGAGGAAGGTCAGAGGGAGAAGCAGACTCCCTGCTGAGCAGGGAGCCCGATGCGGGACTCGATGTGGGACTCGATCCCGGGACTCCAGGATCATGACCTGAGCCAAGGCAGTCGCTTAACCAACTGAGCCACCCAGGCGCCCAGCCTTTTGGTTTTCATCAGTGAAACCTGCCCTGTCTCCTCTCCTCTGTTGTTGGGAGCTAGAAGCGCTCCCCCGACAGATGCCAGTGAGCCCCTGACCGCTGCCCTGGCCCTTGCCGCGGCTTCACAGCCCCCTCCACGGGGTCCCTCTCCTTTTCACCCGCCCCTGCAGCTGCCCACCGCACGGATGATCGCCTTTGCCATGGCGCTCCTGGGCTGTGTCCTAATCATGTACAAGGCCATCTGGTACGACCAGTTCACCTGCCCCGACGGCTTCCTGCTTCGGGTAAGGCCTGGCGAGCTGCGGAACGGGGTGGGGCGTGGGGCAGTCCAGGCCTTCCCGTGCTCGGATGCCGCCGGGCAGAGTGCCAGGGAGGGTCCCACGGAGGTGTCCATGTGGAAGCGTGGGAGGCGGGCTGCCTCCGGTGCCCTCCTACCCCGCCCCTGACCCGCCCCCTCCCGCAGCACAAGATCTGCACCCCGCTGACCCTGGAGATGTACTACACCGAGATGGACCCCGAGCGCCACCGCAGCATCCTGGCCGCCATTGGGGCCTACCCGCTGAGCCGCAAGCACGGCACGGAGACACCCTCGGCCTGGGGGGGGAGCTACCGCGCCGTCAAGGAGGGGCCCAAGGCACCCACCCAGGCGGGCGCGGCGGGGGCGGCGGCGGCGGGGGCGGGGGCGGGGGCGGCGGCCACCGAGCCCCCCGGCAAGGCCTCCGCGCTGGGAGAGAAAGAGGCGACGCGGAAGGCGGCAGGCAGCGTCCCGCCCCCGGCCCCCCAGTGAAGGCCTCCGCACCTGCAGCCCGGGTAGGTGTGCTGGGGGGGAGGGGCGGGGAGGAGGGGATGGGGGCGGGGGGTCACGTGAACTGGAAGTGGCGGGGCGGGGCTCAGCCATGCACTTATTCCCACGCAGGTGGGCGGTGGGGGGTTGTGTACCCGCCTCGCAGCGCCCGCTCTCGCCCCTCCTCCCCTCTGTCTCGGCAGCGCCCCGCGCCGGCACCTGTGACAGCCCTCGCCCGACGCTCTCACATCCTGTGGTCGTGCCCCTGCTTCCAGGACCCCTCGCTGATGCCCCCTGCCCCCTGAGCTTCTAGCTCTGTTGCTTTTCTCTAAGTAAAGATTCACATCCACCTGGGTCTCTTGTTTCTCCTGAGCATCCTCCGTCCCGCTGGCCTCTTTCCTGCCTTCCCACCCCCCCGCGTGGGTGAGCACTGGCATCATGCCAAACCCCTACTGCCCAGAGGGACCCCGAAGGATCCTGAAGAGCGGTGGTAGAGGGGCAGTGAGGCGCCCTGGGAAGCCGCGGTTCACGGACAGGGACAAGGCCAGGGCCACTGTGCGAGCCGCCCGGGGTGTCAGGGCCCAGCGTGGACAGGGCTTTGTCTGGTCCATTGCTCGGCTGACTGCAAAGAAATAAGCTCACCTCTGTTCAGGGGAGCCTCTAGGATCTGGGCTCCATCCCTGACTACCCCCTACCCTACTACATCCAGCAGAGCTGCTCCATCCCCTGCTGCCGTTCCTGGTCCCCACACAACTACCCCATTTGACGGGAGTATCTGAATTCCCCTGTTCTGGGCAAGCACCCACATGTGGTTCCTGCCCCCAACTGCCTGCCCACAGGCATGAGTCACTGAAGAAATGAGAGAATGCATGGATCCACCGAGCCCTGGGCCACAGGAGAGGGGATGTGAGCCCATCCCTGGGGCATGAAAGGGCTCCCTCCTCCCAGAGCACCCCCATCTCCCATTCCCTTGGAGCTAGAGGGGAAGTGGGAGGTCTGAGGATGTTGGAGTTGGCAAGAGTCTCTTTACCCAGCCCACAGCATGGCCCACCTCCCCCTCTGCTTCAGCACTGGGAAGCCCAGGTCTGCTCCCGCCTGGCTAGGCCTGACCATGGCCCCCACTCCAGCACCTATCCTCCTCTGAGGGCTTTGATCCTAAGCCCAGACACCCCACCTGGTGAGAGGTGAACTCAGGCCCTAGCACTAACGGCTGGGTTGGGAGGTAGGGATGACAACCTTGGGAGCTCATGCAAAAGAAACAGGAAAGAGACAGGCATTTTCAGCGTGCTTCCCAGTGTTGGGTGACATGGGTCAGAGTCCTGGGGGGACCCCCTTGGCCCTAGTGCGGTCATGTGGGGGGACACAGGGCCGGGCGCTCAGACGATATGGGACTATCCAGCTTCCAGGCCAGGGAGGCAAGGTGAGGGGTCTGAGCAGCTTTGGAACAGGGAGGGGGCAGTGACCAGGAAGTGGGTGAGACAGGTGTTCGAAGTGTTCCAGAGAAACCATGGACACACTGGAGGCCAGGTGGGGGGAGTGGGGGTGGGCAGGTCAGGGCTGGGCTGTGAGTACTGTGTCCATCATCACTGGGCTCTTATCTGTCCAGCCAGCCCTCCATCCATCTGTTCATCTGCCAGTCATGACCTGTCATCTGTCCCCCTATTCCTGTCTTTCTCTAGCAGGTACCATCTCTCTGATAGTCACCTGGCTAAAGTGTTTCTGAGCCTTGGAGAGGAAGTTGCCTCTTTACCCTTAAATACCTCAGTGTGGATTTCCTAGGAAGGGCATGTGCTTACTTCATGCAATGATCAAAATCAGGAATTTAACTTCGAAACAATACTCTTATTTAATCTATGTACCTTATTAACATGTTCCCAGTTGTCTCAATAATGTCCTCTGTAGAAAAAAAAAATCTGTCCTGAGATACGGTCCAGGAGCCTGGCCACATCCTCCTTACCCATTTCTCACCTGGGGCAGCTCAGTCTGTCTGTCATGACCTTGACGGTTCTGAAGCCTGCAGGCCAGGTGATCTGTAGACTGGCCTCAGCTCACACGCATGAGGTGTGTTGTCATGATCAGCTGGAGGATGCGTTCCCGGGAGTGATGCTGTGTTCCCCTCAGTGTCACGTCAGGAGCCACGTGAGGTCTGGTTGTCCACCCCTGAGGTTAACTTAGGTCACTCAGCTAAGGTGGCTTTGATGAGTTTTGCCCTGTGACCTTACCATTTGCCCTTTGTAAATTAATACACATTTTGTGGGAAGATGCTCTGAGACTATATAAATATCTTGGTCCTCACCAACTCCCCCCTCATTTTAGCATTCATTGACCATTCTTTTTTTTAAACCTTTTTTTTTTTAAAGATTTTATTTATTTATTTGAGAGAGAGAGAATGAGAGACAGAGAGCATGAGAGGGAGGAGGGTCAGAGGGAGAAGCAGACTCCCTGCCGAGCAGGGAGCCCGATGCGGGACTCGATCCCGGGACTCCAGGATCATGACCTGAGCCGAAGGCAGTCGTTTAACCAACTGAGCCACCCAGGTGCCCCTCATTGACCATTCTTAACTGAATCAATAATACTGTATTTTCCAAGTGGTGATTGTCTAAATTCAGCATTTTTTCTACACCTAACTGGTTGACGTTCTGTTAGTTTACCATAAAGAAAACCTCTCCCTCCTCCCCTTTCTGGGAGATTGACTGTCATCCCTACCCCCCAAACATTTATTTACTCATTTATTTACATCAGTGTGACCCATTGATTCCCATTTTATTCAATAGGCTAAAATCCACTGCTATCAGTATTTATTTTTGTGTTCACATTGTTTCGTATCGGGCTCGTGGAAGTCAGTCTCTGGGCACTTCCTTACTTTCTTGCACAAAGATGCTCCAGGCTTGACTTGTGCCACGGGGATCTGGGTGCTGGTTGTGGGTGCTGCTTCAGGCACTCTGGGTACATAGAGCTGGGGGTGTGATATATAATATAGACATTCACACACACACGGTCTATAGTTCCCTCATCTCTGTAAGTGTATCTGTGTGTGTGCATGCAAGTGTGTATCCGTGCGTAGACCCAGCCCACGTGAAGCTATACAATGTGTCCATACAGTATCTATAGAGTGTGCAGCATGTACAACATGCATGCGTCTCCATGAGTGCATAGTGATCCCGCCAATCCCAACCCCAAATCTCAGGGTTTATTCTAGTTCGCCCCTCCCTTATTGATAACTCCCCCTCCAATAGGGAGAAACCTGTTGGAGAAACCTGTTCTCAATATATTTACTTGCTTGGTCTTAGAATACATTGGAGTCCTTTTCAGAATTGGCAAGCCATTCGATGACACAAATAAGTGAACAAACTAGAATCTGGTGCTTATCTAGAGTTCTGTCTTTAATTTGAGAGTATATAGTTAAAATGCTGTGTTCTTCACATCACTGTGGTTGTGCTATTCCATTGATATATCACGGAGTCACTTATTACCGCTTGCACTCTGTTTTTGGGTCCTTCCCCCATTTTTGTTGATTTTATCCTATTATTTTTTAGTATGTAAAACATTAACAGGATTTTGGATAAGTCACTGGGCTCCCTCCCGCCCCTGAGAGAAATCAATCTCCTTAGTTTCTAGTTCAGCCTGTCTGTGCATCTTTTTGCACAAATAAGCAGATACATCTGCATTTTATTTGTCCTGTTTGACATTTTTTCACTGTAAGGATTTTTTCCCCCACACAAATGACAATCAATTCTCCCAATTCTCCAGCACGACCTGGGTGTCCTACAATTCAATCCTACGCCGACATTAACTCCCCAGAGCTAGCACAGACCCCGCTATCTCAGGAGCCTGACTCCTGGTTCTGACGCCCGTCACAAGTATCAGGTCTTTAGGCCACCTGCATTTCTGTCCAACTCGACTACAAAGTTGGGGGATCACGTCTTCAGATTTGATAACTCCATAGCATGACTTACAGAACTCAGGAAAGCACTTACTAGAGTACTAGTTTATTATTAAGTATACAACTCAGGGACAGCCGGATGGAAGAGAGGTACAAGGCCAGGTGTGGGCACAGGAGCATCGAACCTCCCTGCACCTGAGTGTTCAGTCTGGAAGCCCTCCGAATCTCCTTGCTCACAAGTTCCTATAACCTGTGTTCACCCCCTCCCTCCCACAGGTCAGGGGTGGGGCTGAAAGCCGCCCCCCAAGCAGCCTCCACCCCACCCTGACCTATCTCATCAGCATAAACTCCAGTGTGGCTCTGAGTGATACTCTGCAACTCAGGAAATCCCAAGGGTTTTAGGAGCCCTGCCCTAGGAGCCAGGGACAAAGGCCAAATACATTTTTTATTGCAGCACATTCACTTCACACACACGGAAAATCGCTGCGCACGGTGTGAACGCACTCTCCTTGTTCGCGTCACCAACACACAGCACCCACTGACAGCTGCACCATTACTCCACCACCCGGGGCTGTTTGGGTGGTTTACAATATTTTGCAGTACAATGCCGCAATGAATAATTTATGCATATGTGCTTTGTATTGTTGGAGATTTATCTTCAGGGCAAATTCCCAGGAGTGGTCTTGCTGAGTTAAAATGTTTTAATTTATAAAATGTTATCATTTACAATTATAAATTTAAACCAGTGTCAGGGAGCAAGAATTCCTGACCTCTCAAAGGTCCTTCTAGCTTGAGTAAGAATCAGATTGACGTGAGACAGATTAGCAGGAGAAAATCAAATTTAATGGCGTCGGTAAGGGGGAATCCACGCTGGCATGGAAATTCCAAAGTCAGGCTGATGAGGTCCATTTGTCATCCTGCAGAAGGGGGTGGGGGTCTGGGACTTCAGAGGAAAGGGATGCACTTCACAGGATGATAAGAAGAGCAAATGCTTGCCCTGCCATGCAGATGGGTCACTCAGATGAAATTGATCTGTTAATCACCCTTATCCTGGGAAAGACCCCCAATTTAGGTTCTTCTGTGTAGTTAAGAGGGGGACAAAAGTTTCCCTTGAGCCTGCAGGGTCTCTGGTGCCTTCAGCTCACAATAATCCGTATGCCAACATGGAACATTCTGGGGAGGTCTGTCCTGAACCTCTCCACCAGCTTCCCCAAGCTTTAGAGCTCCATTTAAAAGCTTACTTATGAATCTAGTTACTTTTGTGTGAGTGTGTCTTCACTTACTCTGTAATTAATATTCTATTAACTTAAGCATTTGGTATATTCAGTCTCTAATTTTTAAGACATTTCACAAACATGATGAATTCGATTAATTAGATGTCCTAGGTATTTCAAGCTCTAACCATAAATTGATAGATCAGATCCTAAGCATTTTGAACATCATGCAGACCTACAAACCTACCTAACA